GCCAGAAAAGAAGCTTTCTGGGGACCCTACCTTCCTGTTTCTCATTCCCTTCTGTCCTCTATTTTTTTTTTTTTTTTTTTTTTGAGACGGAGTCTTACTCTGTTGCCCAGCCTGGAGTGCAGTGGCACGATCTCTACTCACTGCAACCTGTCTCCCAGGTTCAAACAATTCTCCTGCCTCAGCAGCTCCCAGTAGCTGGGATTACAGGTGCACGCCACCTGTAATTTAAAAATTAGCCATATCCTGCTAATTTTTGTATTTTTAGTAGAGATGGAGTTTTCCCATGTTGGCCAGGCTGGTCTCGAACTCCTGACCTCAGGTGATCCATGTACCTCAGGTGATCCACGTGCCTTGGCCTCCCAAACTACTGGGATTACAGGCATGAGCCACCATGCCCGGCCCCACTCTTTCCTCTTAACCTACTGTTCTGCATATAGCCCAGGGCACGCTACTGAATGCTGTTGAATAGTCGCTGTTTTATTTCTTGGTAATTCAGATCAGAAACTTATGGTGTTTCCCCTGGGTTTATCTGCAGTTTAGAAAAGTGACCTTGACTACATGCTTTGTGCCCTTTGCTCACAAAAGATGATTAGTTTTGATTGTGCAGCATTTGGAATGAAGGAATTTAGTCTGGAATGAAGGAACTTTAAAAGGTTGGGGGAATATCACATTGGAACTGTTAAAGGACATGCAAACGGATCTGTGAGAATGGTTTTGATTCTGCTCCGTGTCCTGGTAGGAGACACTAGATCAGGCTCACTACCAATTAGCATCATCTTAATCGTGCCTAATAGTGAAGCAAAGTCCCCAAGGATTTAGTGGATTTATCAGCTCCTCCCAAAATAGTCATCTGAGGCTAACACCTCTTGGAACCTAGGTCAAAAGAAAGTCCTTTGGTAATGATGTGTCATACATTCTAGTCATCAAAGACACAATTTTCTTGGCTTGAAGTGATCTGCTGGTTTTTGGAGGAATGAGAATCCAATCTCTCATAAGCCGGATTCAGAAAATAGGTCATCGATGTGAGTTGCAGTTATTTTCCTTCCAGCTTCCTTTTGCTTTCCTTCCAGCTTGCTTTAGATTGCTTTTCTGCAAAGGGCAGATGCAGCTGCCCTGGCTGGTGAGCAGTCGAGGGGGATGACAGCCACTCCGGCTTTGGGCCACTGTCTGACATCACTCAGATTCCTGGGTCCTCTCAGTTAGCATCTGCCTTTTGTGTGGGTGGTTAAATTTCTATTGAAGGAGTAGGAGAAATACCCTCTTGAGTATTGCTTTTTACACACAGTCGTGTGCACGCACACACACACACGGCATAGTTCATAGTCACTTGATTTGCCACCTGCAGTTTATAATAGAATGGACCTGTGGGATTATAAACCACTTTATTTCTGCACAGAATTTCTCAGCTTGAGGCCAAATTGAAGGGCATTAGTCATCAGTAATTTGCAGATATTTTTAATGTTTTTCACTCGAGAGGTTTAAGGCAGCTAAAGCTAAGATAAATTTCCTCATGCTTTGGTGGGGCAATGAAAAATCTGATCATTTAGTTAATCATCATTTGTAAGAGCTGTAGGTATGTATTGTTCCTTAGTGACTGCAATATCATGACAGGTTTGTGAATCTGGTGACATGACAATGTAAACAATAGTAGATAAATTCCATTATGCCACGATTCTTTTCTTCCTGTCAATAGTTTCATATGTTAAAGGTTTAAAATCCATAGAACGTTAGAGAAGGGAATTTAGAGATCAACCTAGTGATCACTGGATTCCTCTACCAAGCTCTGTCAAATGCCAGTCCTGAGTCTCCCCCTGGAGCATCAGGATAAATAGCTAATGCATGCGGGGCTTACTAGGTGCAGCCAACCCACCATAGCACATGTTTACCTATGTAACAAACCTGCACGTCCTGCACATGGGTCCTGGAACTTAATTACAATAAAATTAAATTTAAAAAAAGAAAAGAAAAGAGTACATAATCAGTGGAACCGTAAAGGAAAGGTCAGTTCTAGCGGGAAAATTAGGAAAAGCCTCCTAGAAGAGAAGACATTTGAGTTATACTTGAACGGGCCCTATCTAGCAGTGGTTCGTGAAGAAGCCAGTTCCTACTCTTACGTCTTTACCATTGCTATGGTTTGAATGTCCCCTCCAAAGATCATGTTGAAATTTAATTGCCATTGTGGGAAGAAATGAGACCTTTAAGAGGTGACTGGGTCATGAGGGCTCTGCCCTTATGAATGGATTAATGCAGTTACTGTGGGAGACGGCTCCTAGTAAAAGGGTAAGTTCAGTCTCCTTTTTCTCTCTCTTGAGCTCTCACTCTCTTGCTCTGTCTCACTATGTGAGACCTTCCACCATGTTATGATGCAGCAAGAAGGCCCTCACCAGATGTGGCCCCTTGATCTTGGACATCCCAGCCTCCAGAACCATGAGCCAAATAAACTTCTATTGTTTATAAAGGATGCAGTCTGTAATATTCTGTCATAGCGGCAGAAAACGGACTAACAACAACTTTTATGCACTTGCTTATGTGTTGGTTTGGAATTATTCTCTAATTTGCTCACGCTTGTATGGTATGTGTTTCCTTATTCTGTGTATCTCTGGGTGTTATATTTAATATTTGTACAGACTTCCTCTGACATTTCCCAGTTCAGGTTTCTGATTTCTTCTTTCTAAAATCTATTCTCGAGATTTGAAAGCATTCTTCTATGATTTGTTATTCATATATACCATACTATAACATCTAGAAAAAAATACTCTGAATGGCATACTGAGCAATGGAGATCTTCATCATGAATTTTCTAATGAGTATAAAATGTTGCTGGGCAAGTTTCTATTTAAGTCATGCTCGCTAGGCTTGACTAACTGCAGACATTCACAGGGTGTATGCTGCAGAGTGCTTTACTTTCAACAAGGTAAGGCTGTACCTCCCTTAGGGACTAATTCAGGGTATTCAACAAGGGATCAGACTAGGCTCATTTGGGGTTGTTAAGGAACTAAAACTAGCTCACGAGAAACTCAAATCAGCTCTTGAAAAGAGGGGCTGCTTAGAAGAATGCAGTAGGAAATTTCATGGGATACAAGGACAGACAGCAAAGCTTAGCAGGCTTCAGAGGGCCAAAGTGTAGAATTCATAGTGAACCTACTCACTAATCCTCTCTGTCTCACTCTCTCAAGCATGGGTCTTTCAGTTTCCTGCTTCTCCGTTTTCTTTTTCTTCTCAGGATGAGCTTCTGTTTCATATGGTTTCTGCTCTCCCATGACTTCAGCACGCATCTGGGTCATAACAGTCTCCTCTGTAGAGATCTCTTAAATGTTTTTTTAAAAAGATTTATTTTTAAAAATTGAAAAACATATGCACTAGCAAAAACCATGACTAAAAATGTATAATAATTTTTAAAAGCATATTAATTTCTCTCTTTTCCAAGCTCTCTGATTTTTAGTACCTCTCCCCAAAGTTTAAGAGTTTCCTGTGTAGCCTTCTGGAAAAAAAAAAAATATATATATATATAAGGATATACACATACATAGATACATACACACACATATACACATAAAATGACTAGAAATGCAAATATTCTTTTTATTTACACAAAAGTTGTCCCCCCTATACACTACTCAACACTTTTAAAACAAATCTTAATTGCATATTTGGCATTCTTTCCATATTAGTTGGCACAAAATTTACCTTTTTTCTTTTTAGTGGTTACATGTGGCTAGATTGTATTTAATTTTATGTAACTATTATGATTTATTAGATAATCTCTCCATGATGATGGGCCTCTAGGTTGTATCTGGTTTTCTGTTGAAAATAATACTGTAGTGAACAATCTTGTATGTCTGTCTACTACAAGTTTAATGGAGTTTTAGCTCTTACATCTGTTTAATGATTAAAGTTAATTTTTATATGTGGTGTAAGGATAAAGATTCTTTTTTCCTTTTTGCATATTGCTCTACAATTGTTTTAGCACTGTTGAAAATTTTCCTTTCTAGTATGTAGAAATACAGTTGAATTTAAAATATTGACCTTGTTTGTATCCTGTAATTTTGATAAACTCACTAGTTCTAGTAATGCTTTTATAAATTCCATCAGATTTTTAAATAGATAATCATGTAATCTTCAAATTAAGCCTATTTTACTTCTTCCCCTCTAATCTGGATTTTTAAATTTTCTTTTTCTTGACTTATTATTCTGGCTTCACCACAGTATTCAATATAAATGATGAGAGCAGACATCCTTGGCTTGTTTCTGATCTTAAGGTGAAAGCATTTAGATTTTCACCATTAAGTGTGGTGTTAACTTTAGGTTTTTCCTAGATTCCTGTATCAGATGAAGTTCCTTTCAATTTCTACTCTATTGAGAGTTTTTTTGTTGTTTGTTTTTAAATTTTGAATGCATGTTGAATTTTTTTCAAATGCTTTTTCTGCATCGATCAAGATGATCAAATGGTTTTTCTTTTATATTCTGTTAATATGAATCTAAGTGTGCTTTTTTGATTATATATGTATAGTGAATGCCTACCAGTAGAATTACAGAGACAAAGGGTATGGGCATTTGGTAGATTTTGACTAATAATTTCTCAAAAAGATTGTTTACACTTTCATGTTGTCTCAGAATGCTTATTTCTCTTAACACTATTATCAAACTTTTAAAAATCTTGACAGTATGAGAGGAGACAAATGGTATCTCATTATTTTGATTTGCCGTTTAGTGAGATTTAGCATCTTTTATACATTTGAATTTTTTAAGTCTTTTTCTTGTTTATTGTATATACTCTTGATATAATAAGAAAACTAGCTCCTGATGCAAATCTTCTTTTCTAGGTATTTTTTGGAAAAATGTTAGTACTTAAAACAATTCTTTTGGTTATAGAGACTTTTTTACTTGTATGCAATTATGTTTATCAATTTTTTTCTTAGGGCTTGTGAGTTTTCTATTCTACTTGAAAATATTCCTTGCCTACACCAAGACTACAATGTATTTACCTATTTTTTTTTAAAAAAAATTTTGAGCCACCATACTCTATTTTGGAGAAAGGAATGAGGTAGCAATCTGGCTTAACTTTTTTTCTAAATAGCCAGCAAGTTAAGCCAGCATTATTTATTGAACAGTATTATTTAGTCCATCTTTTGCCTATTGATTTGAAATGTGATTTTTATCATAAACCCTATTTGTGTATTTGAGTCTACTTTTGGGTTCTAGTCTAAAGATCTGACTACTTATTTCTACCCCTGTGGCATAATGTTTTAATTACTATAGCAGTATAACATGTTTTAGTGTCTGGTCAAATTATGTTCACTAATTATTCTTTTGCAAAATTTTCATGTTATGTGGTTTTCTTTTTTTCTTTTTTTT